GAATCTTTTTTAGATAACGCAAGCGAGTTCGATGGTATGAACCTAGCAACTTCTGATGCACTTGGGTGGAAAGTTGACGAGTCTTCCAAGTTCGCTGTAAAAGGCAATTCTGAACACACTTCTGAAGCACTAGGGTGGCATAGGAATGTGGCCGTCACTCTAAATGATGAGGAAGGTAAACCAATCATCACTATTATTGGAAATTACGCTGTTGTTGATAACGGTGACCCAAACCAATGCTATGGTTAGGTACGACAGGAATTCGAAAAGTTGAAGGTGTTTGCGATCCAACTAAAAATCAATTCCGCATAAAGGATCACAGAAAGACATATATTATTCCAACATTCAGCAAGACCCCAGAAGTTAAGGATCCGCCAAAAGAGGAGCAGGACCAATCATCCACCAATTCTTCTAACCTGACTGGTGAGAAAGATTTAAAAAAAAGTGCGTAAACTGCATGAGTTATGAGGATATGGCAATTCATATAAGAGAACTCGAAAAGGCATTATTTTCTAGCATTCAATCGAATTTGGAAATCATAGGATACTATAATAGTTTGCACAGCCGGATTTCATAAGATGAATAACTATTTGGAAGTAAGAACACGACCAGATGCTCTAATTTTTTCTATATCATTATTAGTTCTCTTATACAAATCTAAGACATCTTCAGAAGATTCGGTAGATGTAATAGAATCGGAAGTGCAAACAGTCTTGGTTCTTGATTTTCTTCCTCCAGCCTTTTTTACCTTACTATCTGAAATAACATCTTCTTCCGAAGCTGGATTAGTAGATTTGCTAATTTTAGTATCATGTATCTTATTTTCCAGTGCTGTGAAGGCAGAATCGAATTTATCTTGAAATTCTCTTTCACCTTGGCGCTCCTCATTCTGTTTATTCATAATATTCATGCTTGGAGTGACTGCTAAATCATTCCATTGAATCCTATTAAACTCTTGTCCTCTCCAAATTTGATATAAGCGACTATTTGATATATTATATTTTTTACTTAGCTGAGTTACAGGTTTGGACTTCATATCACGATATTGCATAATGTCTTTATAATCTGCGGGGGACAAATAACTAGCCCTGGAACTAATATGTGTTTTAAGCTGGGATGTGATCATATTAGTAGCTAATCGCTAGAGATTTTTTTTTACTATAAATAAAAATGTATAAAAAAAAAATATTGATACTATGCTAATATTAGTATTATGCTAGTATCAGTAATACAATAGTATCAGTACTATGCTAATATCAGTAATATTGTAGTATCAGTAGTATCAGTAATAGTATCAGTAATATAATAGTATCAATAATATAGTAGTATCAGTAATATGCTAGTATCCATAAAAATAAAGTGTTTTCAGGATTGCATGGTCTCAAAAATTTGCTCATAATTTTTTTAGTATACTATTGACTAGGCCGAAAAAAAAATTATGTCCAATGTGCATACCTTAAAAGATATCAAGGATGGAGGGGTAGTTGGGAGTTTACTAGGTAAAAAGATTCCTCCAGGTTGTCAGCTTGGTAGCATTCGTGAATCAGAACTTGAGAAAGCATTGCGTGGTAGTATCAAAACTTCTTCTGATATTGCTAATGATTATAAAGACCTGCAGGAGATATATATAGAGTGAATGAAGGATTTTAATCGTATCAGTTCTGGTATTAATAATAAGTTTAGTCAGCTAAATACAGCTAATACTGAGCTTAAAGCCAAATATACTGCTGAAATCAAATCGCTCAAATCAAATATTAAATCACTAGAGAGAAAGGCAACTTTGGCCCAGAAAGCTTCATCCACTGATAAGGCCCAGATTCTTTCTCTTGAAACTAAAATACGTGAATTGGAAGGTAAGTTGGTTGACTTAGAACTAGAACAGGTGCTCTACGATTCAAATGTAAAAGGAGGGGTGGTAGAAGAGTCGGTCCAAATGCCAAAGCTACCAGATTGGCTTCATGATAATTTAAGAAGTATTGTCTGTGAGCTTGGGCTCGAAGATAAAGTAATGGA